TGCCGATCAGGCGGAAAACACAAACCAGATTGCTGCGCCCATGTAAGAATAGGGGGGAGAGAGTCGGGGAGAATGGTGAAGAGAGGATCTGCCGGGCGGTCAGTCCCGGATAAAGGATTAAGTCAATGCAACGTAAGGTCTGTGGATTTTGTGGAGAGTCCACGTAGGACATGTAGTATGCGTCAGTCCATCCTGTCTGACGTCCTGTCCGCCATGGCCTGTCTCATGGAACGGACAAAGACTCAACAGCCGTCCTGTCTCACAGATCAGTGGATCGTCGGTCTATGAACCCTAGACCCTAAACCCTGGACCGACTTGCACTTCTGACAGTAGGAACGCACAGCCGGACATTGATTGATTCGCCAGCCCATGTGTCTGTCTCTGTGCCTGTGCTGGCTGTTTGTCAGGCCACCCTCATTCGCCAGAGGCTCAGGGTATGCACCCACACGAAGAACCAGCAGACAGACAGGCAGACAGACACAAGGAACAACACACCAGGCCCCACATTAACGGATATCCCTTTCAGGCTTTGGGCCAGGCCGCGCATGGGGCCACATTTGCTCCTGCTGCTCCCGTTGCTGCTGCTGCTGCTGCACGAGGTGGTGAACAGGAGAACAAAGCCACACACACATACACTGACAGGAATTGAGCACCGTGTTGTCCCTCTTTTTGTCCTTGGTTATTCGTTCAGGTCGTGGTCGTGGTCGGGGCGGCGCACCCGGCTACGGCCGTGGCGGCATGGCTGCGGGCGGCCGGGGGGCGACGCTGGCTGCGGGCGGGGGGAGAGGGGCACCGATGCCTCCCCTACCCCCACCCAGCGGCCTCGCACCCATTCCCGCTTGGTGTGTGTGTCCGCGGCGTGACGGCGGCCAAGGGCGCGGGCAGAAGGACCGGAGCACTTGCATCAGTGTGAGCCATAGGCGGGCAAAACTACATACACATGCACCAAAAATGAGTGCAGCGCCCCTGTCTCTCTCTTTTTCTGTGTATTCTGTATTCAGCTGCTCCGGATCGCTGTCTACATCTTATATTGTGAAGCATTGGTTTTCATCGAGGTCGTTGGCGCACCTTCGTTGATTGAGGGTCGCCTGCTTGTCCATATGTGCATCAGTCCAACACGAATATATATAGTTTGCTGTATCTAACACTGGTGAGACATGCACAGGACATCAACAAAACAGGTGCTGCGCCACGCCATGACCGCACTGGAATAGCTGTGTCCGCCAAAGGCAGCCATGGCACACGCACACAAGCAACACACACGCAAAACCCGCAAAGCACTCAGGGGCGGATGTGTGGTGCACGACGATAGATAGAAACAGGTGTGCAATGGATAAATACATAAACGGGACACCAACACACACCAACTGGCGGCCAAGGCCCTCCCTCCCCCCGATGCATATGCATCAGCTCGCACACACCACTTACACACAGACGTTGTAGACAAATACTTACAGACTGCATACTCAGGAAGCTCAGCAAAAAGAGAATAGGCCGCTAAAGTAGCGAGTGTCTGGTTGACTCACTGCCGGCTCATCGATCAGATCACGTCGACGCGCCCGACACCTGACAAGAAGAAATGAGAACGTCTGTTGTGCTGTGCTGGTCTCTCCCTCTCCAGTCACTTCTGTCTGACCTGCTGCAGTGCATGAATCTCCAAATCAGCACCCGTGAAGACATGACTGGCGGCCAACGTGGCGTATCCCTCCTCGCTGAAGCTGCCACGATACGTCATGCGCCTCGGCAGCTCCTCACGCGACAGCCACTGACAGCCGCTGCGAAGGTCGCCAGCCGGACCACCCTTCCCGAACCCCAACCACAGCCGAGCACCGATGGCCACCTTGCAGCACAAGGGCCCCAAAATTTCCGTCACCGCCCCCCCAATGCCGGCGACCTTCACGCGCTGGTAGTGGTGGGGCACGGTGATCTTGGTGATGCCCTGCTGCTCAAATGCGCCACTGATGGAGTAGAAGGTAACGGGGCAGGGTGTCGTCTCGACTGCCGTGGGGTCGTCTGGCGGCTTGAGCTGCCCCTTGATGTGGCTGGCGAAAGTGTGGGCGCCGGTGTCCTTGAAGACCAGCAGCAGATCGACCGCACCGCCCACCTTGGCGAAGAGGGCCTCATAGGTCCAGCCGTCACGCTCACCCCTGGCACACACAGAGGCAGGAGAGCGGGAGTGCGCTTGAACATCAGCCATGGCCCCTCCTTAGGCACTTCACTCACTTGTAGAGGAGCTGTGAAGTCATCGGTGTGTCGGTCGCCATGTCGATGAGGGCCTGGAGGTCGTCAGCAGAGAGGATGGGGTCAGCCGGACGAGTGCTCCACACCTGACCCACATCACATCAGCAACACAATGGAGAGTCATGAGGTCCGCATGGATTCGACGCTTCATGGCCATGTGTGGCTGACCTGGTACACTTCCAGTCGCGTGGCGGTGAAGGCCTGGCTGCTGGCTAGTGTGGCCCGTCCCGCCTCGTCGTAGCTGCCCATGTACGTCTCGCCGCCGTCGGGCAGATCATCCCTTCGCAGCCACTGGTGGCAGTGCCGAAGGTCGCTAGTCGGCCGCCCGTCTTTTTGACCCAGCCACAGGCGGCCGCCACCGATGGCCGCCTTGCCACACGGGATGCTGCCGGTCTTCACCGCCCCCTCGGTGCCGGAGACCCTCACACACTGCCAATCGTGGGGTATGTTGATCTTGGTGATGCCCTCCAAGAATGCGCCACTGATCGAGTAGAAGGTAACGGGGCAGCCGGTGCGCAGCTCAGATGTGGGGTCAGCTGGGGGCTTGAAGGGCCCGTCGATGTGGCACGCGAGCGTGTGGTGGTGCTCATCCTCGATGACGAACAGCAGGCCGTACACACCCGCCACCGCCACTCGTGCAATCAGAGCCCCATACTGCCAGCCGTCACGTGAACTCCTAAGCACGACAGAAGAGGGCCATTCAAAAGAAGGCCATCATTCTTCCCGCCCTCTCTGCTGTGCGTGGTCCGCTCACTTACTTGAAGACGCACTTGATGTGGCTGTGGGATTTGCCGATCATCGAGAGGTACACTTGCTCCATAAGGCCATACATTTCACACACATACAGCAGATCGCCAGGCGAACCACACGTCGGCAGCGGCGTGACGGCATCGGGGGCCAGCCGAATGCGACGCACGTAGTCCACTATCCTGCCAACACAGTACAACACAACACAACACGTACAGAGTACGTACAGACGGTGTTTTCCACCTCGCTGGTGTCATATTACTCACTTGTGCAAGAGGGTCATGGACACATCGACCACCGGCCCAGTATACCTGCACACACAAAGAGAAGGGGGCATCGCCAGCCCTCTGTGTGGATCACTGACTACTGACTTGGTGAATCGGTCGTAGAGTGTTTGGAAGTCAGCCAGTGTGGCGTCGGTGGTGGCGACCGCTTCGCCGTCCACACACACACTGAGCACCTCAGTGCCGCCCGTCCCACCAAATGACGAGCTGATGAAGGGCCCCATGATGGCCATGAAGTCACGGAAGGCGCCACTCTCACTGTCGCCGGGCTGCGCATCGATGGTGAGGGCCGTCTTGGACAGTAGGAAGCGGTCGTGGTAGAATGCGGAGGCCCGGCGTCCGCCGTCACAGATAGCTCTCGAGCCGAGAAGTAGCTTCATATCAAGCCTGCATTGCATCACCACACACGCATACACAAGCAGTGAGCACTGCTGCATCATGCCAGCACGCATGCCTCTCACCAGTTGAAGTACTTGGGATCTGCGTCGATGAAGTGAATGCCGTTAGTGTCTGTGACCATCCATTCCTCAAAGCGGTGCAGCAGCACAGCCAAGCAGGTGTCCCTCAGACCTCGACGGAGCAGCTGACCACGGGGGAAGGCCATCACCGTCCCACCCACGTTCAGCAGCATCACTCTCGCCCTGCTCTTGTCTGCTGGCTTGCTGCTGGCGCTGTCTGCTGTGCCTTTGCTGGTCGACGACGGGCCCTTCATAGTTGGCTGCCGCTGGTGGTTCAAGTAGTCGATCTCGATGAAGCCGCAATCTTAGGCTCGCGACCCACCCTTCCTCTCCCTTCCTCTCCCTCCTGACTCATTCAGCGTGTCTTCCTGGTGCCGCTGATCGCGTCCAGTCAGCTCTCTCCATTTGGAGAGAGAAAGCATTTACGCGCGGCGCTGTAGGCCCGTACAGGCTTTCGGACAGGGAGCCGAGACGAGGCAAAGCGTCGAAGGGAGTCGATCAGTCGAGCGCTGGTGAATGAAGATGGCGATCCTGAGGCCTGTGGCCGCCGTTTTGCTTCTCCTCTTGGTGGCGGCTCCGTCACCGCTCCACGGTGCAGAGGATCCCGATGGGAAGGCGAGCCCAAAGCGCCTGGTCGATGACATCGGGGATCTCCTCTATTCACCACTCAATGCCACGAAACAAGCGGCAGAGTCGCTGCTGGAAACGGCCAGCAACCTGCTGATTGACCCGGCACTCGCCGTCGGAGAGGGCTTCCTCACGCGGCCCGAGAACGAGTTGATGGATCTCTTCCACCCATTCGAGGCCGTGGAGAGCCTACAGGGAAAACTGCAGGCGCTCACAAGGCTCGGACTCGGTACAATGCCACAGGCAGCAGGCGGACAGACAGACAGATGACAGGTGGTGATTGCTTGGGTGGTGTGCGTGTGGTCAGCTGAGCTGACCGACAGGGTGCCCCGTGCCTTTTGGGACGATGTCTTCAATATGCCCAGTCTGGTGCTGGCCAACATGTTCGACTACGAGCTCATCCCCTACGTCAAAGATATCCCGACCATCATGTGCCTGTGGTTGGCGGCGCCGCACATCCTCAAGTACGAGCCCCCCGTCCAGAACTCCCACATCCTGATGCAGAATGTGGCCATCTTCCACGCCGTGGCGGCCTACACCGACGACTGGGATGTCTTCTTTGGTCCCGACCGCCGCGCCCCCAAGTACATGCGGACGCACCGCAACCGCCAGGAAGCCGGCGTCCACGCCTGCTACGAAATCCACAGGATCCTCACGCCCCAAGCAGGTCAGTTAGTCATGGAGTGAGCCACCAACACATCGACCGTGAGATTGAGTTGCGTGAGTGTTGCGTGAGTGCAGCCGAGAATTTCGCGCAGGCGATGGTGCTGATGGGGTACAATCCGTTGGACAAGGAGCCAAACGAGAAGACGCCCGCGGGCCTGGGGCATTTGATGGCCAAGGAGGTGGTTGAGTGGTTCAAGGACGACGGCTTCAACAAGGACGGCACCATGATGCACGAGTATAACGGGCTGGCCTACGAGGACTGGACGGAATACAAGCCTGTCAACGGACCGCACAAGCTCACCTACCCCACATACTGGCAGCCACTCATCGAGGCACAGGTACGCACGGCATAGCAGCCATCCATCTCTATCTCGACGGATCTCTCCCCCTCCCTCTCTGTATGGCTGCAGGGCGTCGGCGGCTCTGGCGAGCGGTACGGTTACAATGTGCTGCAGACGCACATCACCCCGCACGCCGGCAAGGTGCGCCCCTTCTTCTGCTCGCAAGAGCAAGTGGACGCGAAGAAGTCGCCCGCGATCTACAACTGCACCAAAGAGATGGAGCCCGAGGACAGGGAAGAGGGCCACCAAGGCAGGGCGGAAGATGGCGACGGCAGGAGCTGTATCGAGGTGCTCAAGGAAAGGTCCCTCAAGGTCATCGAAGAATCGCTCAAACTCGACGGTCGGTGGGCGGCCATCAGCCGAGGGCGGGGAAGGGATGATGGGTCGGATGGGTGGCGGATACAGGGGCACGAAGGCCCTGTGTGTGTGTGTGTAATCTGTTCTGTGTGGTGGTCTCTCGTTCCTTCAGAGAAGAAGAAGGCCTTCGGAGAGTACTTTGACAACAAGGTGAGCTGATTGAATCAATCACAAGCACAACGACCCACACGGGCATCATGCGTGTGTGGTTCTCTTCTACGTCTCTCTCCCTGTCTCACTGCTTCAGTTGTATTCCCTCGGCCCAGTGCCCCTGCAGCTAATCAAGGTGAGCGGAGCGCACCAGTACTGACACGCTCCGTGTGGATGTGGCGTGTGTCGTCTGGATGATTTTGTGTCAGCCGCTGGACATGAACTTTGAGGAGTTCACAGCTCTCGAGTTGGGGTACGCCGGGCTGCTCTACGACGCCACCATTGTGGCTTGGAAGGAGAAGGTCTACCACGACGGCGTCAGGCCCCAATCCTTCATCCAAGAATATTTCGCCGACGAAAAGTACGCACACAGTCACACACACAGACAGAGACATCGAATCGACGGACGTGTGTGTTGTGTGTGTGTGGCGTCAGGTTCAAGGCGTATGTGCCGAAGGTGGGCATCCGGGAGATCATGGGCAAGGACTGGAAGTCCTACTTCAGGACCATGCCACACACAGGTGAGGCCTAGTGTACTGGCCACTGCACTGGGCCACACATAAACGAACGAAGGCGACAATTGACCACCTGGTGCGCCGTGCATCTGTCCCTCCCTCCCTCCCTGCCTTTGTTTGCCTCGCGTCAGAGTACCCGTCTGGTTCGGCGTGTTTCTGCCGCGCGTCGATGGAGTACGCCAAGATAGCCTTTAAGGGCTTCGACATCGCCGGCAAGCTCAGGGCGTACTTCCCCAAGGGATCCTCCGTTGTCGAGACCGGCACGACACCCACCAAAGACCTCATCATCGAGTAACTAAACACACACACATTCCTACTATGCGGCAACCATGAGACATCGGATGGATGGATGGATGGATGGGTGCGTCTGTACTGTGCAGGTGGGAGTCGTTCGACCAGATAGCTGACACGTGTTCCAAGAGTCGCGTGTGGACGGGAGTGCATTTCGAGCAAGCCATCGACCCGAAGCTGGGGGCCGGCCTGTGTGACGGCATCGGCGAGCTCGTCTTCAAACGCGTCCAGAAGCACAGCGGCGGCATTCTCGCCCTAAAGGAAGTGCGCGACAACGGCAAGTGGGACTGAGTGACATCCCGCCCGCCCCGCATGACATCCACCATCCATCCCTGTTGTGATGATGTGTGTTTGTATGCGTGCGTGGTTTTTTCTGTGGCTGTAAAGCGGCTTGCTGTGGTTTGATGGGATAGGAGGCCCGGCAGGCAGTAGGGGGAGGGAGGGAGGGGAATCGCAATTCACGCATGCATTCATGTATGCGTCGGCACCACTAGAGCTATACTTACTATTATTTTTTCCGGTGCGCGATGCATTGCGCCGGGGGCTGGGGAGGCGGGATGAGTGCCTGGATGGATGGATGCCTACCTGCCTGTCCTGCTGTCTGCAAGTCAGTCTTGCTGTCTGCATGTGTGTAGGTCCGGCCGACGGGCGACCACAGAAAATCTGTGTGGTTGCTTGTCTTGGTGCCATAAGAGACATACATATGCACACACACACACGTTCATACTTATACACGTACATTCATTCACGCAGCACTTGATGCGATGCGTCCCACAGACAGACAGACAGACAGAGACAGATGTCTGCATCCATTCATTCATTTTGCTCGTATTGTAAGCTGTAAGTGCATTTATGGATACCGGGGAGCGGGGGGCCGTGGCTGACTGGCTGACTGGCTGGCCGGCTGGCAACTGTACTGGCTCGAGAAATGGACTGGATGGACGGATGGATGGATGGATGGAGCGGTGGATGGATGGATTGATGGAGCAGTGGACGGACGAATTCGTGTGCTTCGTGAGTGTGTGTTTGCGTGTGTGTGCCCCTAGTGCCTTTTGCGGTTGATTGATGAACGATGATGGCGGTTGCCTCAGGGCACACATGTTATGTCTGCTGTGTGTGGTAATGCTGTTGTCCATGGCCTATGTTATGTGCTGGTCTGTGACTTCTTTCTTGTTGGTTGGCCGAAGGAAACACACACCAAGTCAAATGAAATGCATCCATCCATTCAATGCTCACACAATGTCCGTCCAGATCAGATGACGCAAAACACACACTCATACTGCAATGCACGGTCACTCGCTGTGACGCCAGTCAGTCAGTCGCCTATCTGTCTGTACACCCGTCTTAAAACCGACACGTCTACTTCACATATTCTGTACACAAGACACAGAAATACACCCCACCGAGGGATCGTCACCACTTGCCCGAGCCGATCTTGAGCTCCTTCGCCCTTGCCGGCTCCACCGCCCCCCTCTTGACGCCGCCCCTGCCCCCCTCCCTCATGTCTTTCTCCATCTGCCTCAGCCTCAGAATGGTCATGATGTCGTCCTCACCATACATGTCGGTCGAGTCCACTGTCGACCGGTACTCGCCCGGCATGAACATGTAGTGGCCGTGGGTGCGCTCGTTGACGGTGCCGGGCTTGTAGATGGACGTCAGCCACAGGCAGATGGGCCGGTAGGTGTCGGCGTCGGCGTGCACCAGGCTCAGCTCCCCGGGGGCTGCCGCGATGCGCGTGAGGTTGGTGTCGAAAGAGGGGGAGCCGTACACATCCTGAATACAAGCAAACAAGGTGAACAGAACCAAACAGGGGATCTGCAGATCCTCATTCGTGTGTGTGTGTGTGTGGTCATTGCCCTCTCTGACCTGTCTGTTTCTGTCGATGCGTTCGAGTGCCTTGAGGTATGGGATGATAGGCTCGGGCGGCGTCAAGCCACGAACAGCGAGGCGGTCCTCGCATTCGGCCATGTATCTGAAGATGAGGTCATCCCGGATGAGCAGCTCCCGCCCCAGCCAGTGCCGCATCGGATCAAGCCCCGTCTCTTGCTGTCGGCTCAGCAACTCCTGAAGGGACACATGGCGATATCAACAGCACAGCCCACCTATACACCCACCCTCCCCTGGCCATTTTCTCACTGTGTGTACCTTCCATGCCAGTCGTGGTGAGACGCATCCGAGCCCCAGCCATCGTGCGATCTTCCACGCACTGTCGCCCATGTTGAACACCGGGTGGCTGCGGCGGTCCGTGGGGTCCACAGACTCACCCACCCACACATAATGCTCCAGCAGACGCAGCCCACCGCTCTCACCACCTGCACACACAACACAATCCCATCACATGGCACGACACATCCCCCATCGAGATCTGCCTCGTTTCGCACACTTACCAGGTTTCATGGGCTCTGCGGGCGTCTCAGCCATAACGACGTTCTCGATGGGCGGCCCCTCATACCTCTCCTCCACACCCCATGGCAGCGTGTCGGTGGTTGGGAAGTACTCGTAGGAGCCGCCCAGAGCGTCCCATACGAAGGGCTCCAGCCTGGGCACGCGCCCAATGGCGCCCTTGTCTATTGGGGGGAGGGGCTCGGGGGGAGTCAGGCCCTTCCGCCGCACCCCATTGTTGAGCGCACGGACATTCTGGGGGGAAGAGGGAGGGGCAGATATCGACTCATGTGTGATGTGACTGCTTGTTTGTGGTTCGTGTCGTCGTCTTCTGCTTACGGTGAATGGCTGGCCAACTCGTCGGTAGAGGTCGGCCACTTCCTCGATCGGATACAGACTCCTGTCCCACCGCAATTGAAGCTGACACACGCGCAGACACACACAGACACAGACACACGCAGAGCATTCGAACACGCTGCCCTGTCTGGTACCAATTCCCTCTCCCCTCTCTCACTTCATTCAGCTCACCGGTGGCCTTGTCGGCAAGCGCCTCAGTTCGTTGGCCAGTTTGTCCTCAAACACATTTTCGTCCTCAAACACGCCCTTGGTCGACAACACCGCACCGGCCAACGACGGTCCTGGCCAGACGCCCGGGTCCGTCTCTGATGATGGACGGACCGACGACAAACACAAACAGCACATAGGCAGGCACCTCACGGCCAATCGAGTGTGGTCGCTGACCGTGTCGTGTGTTGAAGAGGTGTGGTATGAATCTGTGTGGGTCCGAGATGACGATGAGCAGGTCACTGCCCAGCTCACGCAGCCTGTTCTTCAGCTCTGTCAGGGCCTCTATCAGAAAACGACCACGAGCCAGCAGCCGGGGATTCTCCTCCCTAAACACACAGACAGACAGACAGACAGACAGACAGACAGGCAGACAGACAGACAGACAGACAGATGGCGAGAGAATGGGAGAATGGCGCGTGTGTTGTCTGGCGTGGGTGGCTGGCTGGCTGACCATGGTGCCGGTTCGAGGTCCTGTTGTGTGATGCAGTAGATGGGTAGCACCTCCACCTTATCCTCGCCCTGCTGCTGTAACAGATCGGCCGCAGCTGTCAACAGTGGATTATCGTGCACCCTGCGCACACACGAGAGAAGATTCTGATGCCAGATCTGACCGTGGACAATGATGCCTATCTGCCTCTGCCACCTGAGGTCATTTCGAAACCACACGACGATGCGGTTCTTCGGCTTAACTGCACACACACGGAGAGGACACACGAAGCACACCGAACACACCTGAGATGTGCTCACATACTCCCATTGGCCGCATTGCTTACATATGGGCCTCTCCGGCTGTATATCATCCCGCTCATCGGCTGCTGACGCCGTGTCTGTGATAAGGGAATAGTCCAGCTCCCCTCGTGCGCTGCTGTGACGCTGAATGCCGGCATATGCCTCTCGCAGCCTCAACCATCGCGGCAGGTGCACAGATTGGAACGCTTCGCTGCCGAGCGAGGCCGTGACGAGGCCAGTCACGGGCGCGATGAGTCCAAAGAGCTGCATTTTGGCAGATCTGCCCTTCGAAGGCGAGCTTAGAGCACGGGCTCGCAGCAATCGAGCTGAAAGGAGGAGCTCGCAGCAATCGGGGGGGAAAACGGACCAGATATCGCATTCCGACTGCATTGCGGTGTTGGTTGATCCTCTGTCTGAGCGTGCTCGGAGTCCCGGCGAATTTCTACCATTTGCCGATGCGGAAGCGGATGGTAGCGGATGTCGGGAGCCCCATTGGATGACAGGTGAGGCTCAGACAAGACACATCCGCACGTGGAAGGGCTGCGTGGGACGACGGACTCGTTTGCATGTGTTGTAGCTGGTCTTGAGTGAGCGATGGCTGCGTCGTCTTCCCGCTCAGTGCACGGCGGCACGCCGCCAGCACCAACTGGCTGGCTGGGGCTGCATCGCGTCGAGATCAAGTTACCCTGGCTGCATAGCGATGCCACTCGACATCTGTGTGACGTCGTCTTCCGCCGGTCCATCGGCAGCGCGCAAGGCGTCGCACAGCTCATCCGGCAGGAAGGGGCTGAGGCAAATGTCATGCCGTTACTGGTGCAATCACACGCGGATGGCGCCCCTCCCCCCCCGGAGCCGCCCATGGTCTACCCACTGCTCAGCCTAGCTATTGACAACATGACCGGCAACACTATTCCATCCATCTGGGTGGACCGTCCACGGGGCATGAGTCCCGTCGCCACGAGGTGCTGGTCGTCCCCCGAGCTGCAGGATGACATCATGAATGCACTGATCGACGGTGGGGCCGACATGAATGCGACGAGCGCCGACCGCTCCCACAACACACGGCCCCTTCGTGTGGCGATTGCGGCGGGCAACATACGAGCAGTGAGCCTGCTGCTGCGGCGGGGCGCGCAGCTGAGCGGCTTCAGGGTGATGCGGCTGCCGTTTGCTTGGGGAGTGTACGGTGGACGAGAGTGTCTAACCACCTCCGACGCGGAGCGGCAGCTCATGTCGATTTATCAGCGACTCATCCAGCGAGACAGCACACTCGCAGTCGAACGCAGCACCGACGGCGGCTCCTCGCTGAGCGTGGTGGATGATGCAGCCACGAGCCGGGGGGGTCCTTTCTCCCAGGCCTTCATTGACCAGTACCTGGACATGCTACAGGCCAATGGAGCAGACGTAAGGGCGGGGACTGGCCCGTGGGGCACTACCCCATTGCGGTGGGCGGCGATGTTCGGCAGCCCCCAAGTCGCCGATTGGCTGTGTCGCCAGGTGCCGGCCGACATCGACAGAGACCTGACAGGCGAGCCGCATAGAACGCCCCTCAATACGGCTCTCGGTGGGCTCACGCGGTGGGCTGATGACCTGAATGACGACAGCCGGCCAGAGCATGAGAAGGAGGAGCTTCGCACACGGGAGATTCCCAACCTCGAGGCCTTCATCCGTACACTGGTGCGGGCCGGGCTCGCCCCGTCCCTTGTCCGCTTCACAGTACCTGAAGACCACCGCCGTCGGTGTCGGCTGCTGCTCACGCAGTATGCCGCAGTGCTGAACGAGCTGCCTGATGTGTCGATGGCGGCCATCAACGCCGCCCTCGCCCGCCAGCGCGACCACTCGATGCTGCTCGCCCGTCTGCTGCCCGTCGCACCCCATCATGACGGCGCCCACCCCCACCCCTCCCCATCCAACATGGCATTCGGACCACACGAGGCGGACGCCATCGGCTGGAAGATCGGCGCATTCCTGCACGATCCATCGGCTGCCGTGGCGGTCATCGACCGGTACCTCATCGGTGACTCACAGCTGAGGCGCCGCGTGCAGGCGGCCGTCAGCCATTTCGTCAAGTCGGCGGCCACACAGACATCCAGCAACAGGGAGGTGGTGGGCGATATGGCCAATGTGGGCGGCGTCACGGGGCGGGTGCCGCTGCAGTGCTTCGCCATTCGGGGCAGTGGCGTGCAGGTGGCGCGCATGGTGGGTGTGCGAGAGGTGGTGCACAGGGCCCGGCTGGACGAGGCGGCCAGGTGGTTGGACGGGGCAGCCTGGTGTGGCCTCACGGCGGGTGTGGTCAAGGGCTTCAACGAGCACCTCGGCAACCAGGACTGCCAATTCGCGTGGCAGCAGCTGGGCCACATCGACAAGACCACACGGATATTCGTGGCGCTGGGCATTGAGTGAGGGTGTGGTGTGATTGGGGAGGGGGAGAGAGGGGTGGGATGCTTGATGGCCATGCGTTGCGTTGTGGGCGTCGCCTTCACAGACGGTTATTCGTGTGTGTGAGGTGACGGCGCACGGACGGACGGACGGACGGACGGATGGTGTCTACTGATTGATGATGATCGATTCAACCGCCGGAGGATTATTTAAATGCACTGGATTGTGCACCAACGATGAGTCTGACCGCTGTTTGTCTGTCTGTCTGTCCATATTCACCGACACGTCACGTCACACGCAATGCAATACATACACACACCATCACCATTCATCGACATGTAAGTCTACTCATTACGCATGGATATGTATGAGGGAAAAAACACAATAATCAATCTACCCATCGAAGTCTGTGGCTCTGCTCTCTTTTGGGGAAAAACACAATAATCAATCTACCCATCGAAGTCTGTGGCTCTGCTCTCTTTACCACGGACACACGCACAGAGAAGCGAAGCACGCCACTGGCCGGCCGGTCGGTGGCACACTCACACGGAAGGAGGCAGGGGATATGGCGGGCGGGATGAGGGAATTGCGCAATGGCTACAGACAAGACAGGCAGGGGCAGGGCAGGGGCAGGGGAGGAAAGCCATCGGCACGCAATGGTGGATACAAGTATGCAATGCAATCTCACGCATATTACATTACTTACGGCAATAATTATAATGCGCCGCTCCCGTGTTGCAGTGCGCAAACGGAAACAATCTCCCATACAAACAAACGCTATTATATAATTAGATAGACACACACAAACTGGTAGGTATGCATCTCTCTCTCTCTCACACTCACTCACTCACACACACAGCACACACATACTAGGCAACGGGTCAGCCAATGCGGGTGCGGGTGGCACTGTCTCGCACACGTTGCAACGCCGCAATCAACGCTGCCGTGCTCGATAGGCATACACACATAGCCCCTCTCTCTCTCTCTCTCTCTGTTTCTCTCTCTTGATGTGACACACACCGCACCGACAGAGTGGGGAAGTGATAGAGGAAAACAGCCCCTCCATACGCCCAACCCCCCCATCCATCCATCCCACCCACCACGCAGGCATCGCATGTACCAGATGAACGGAACCCGCCCGTGGACACAAATGGACACGCACATGGCCAGTCGGCCATCCCTCCTTCCCTCCCTCCCTTCCTTCCCCGTCCGTCCGTCCGTCCGTCCGTCCATTCATCCAGGCAGGCAGGCAGGCAGGCTGACACATAAAACCTAAAAGAGGCGATGGCTAGCTATGTATCATTGGGTGCGATCCTGACTGACATTAACTAGGCAACACGCACGTATTTCACGCAGAGAGAGAAGTCCCTCCCTTCCTGCCTCTCTCCCTGCCTCCCTCCCTCCCTCCCTCCCTCCCTCCCTCTCTAAGGCTGCTCGAATGCCTGTTTGTGGACGCTATCGAAGAAAGGGTGCGTGAGCAGGCGACACGCGCTGTGCCGGCTGGCCGGCGGGTACCGGACCATACTGCCATCACACACACACACACATGCATGCACCAATGCATGAGTGAGGGCGATGCCTGTGGGTCTGTTGGTGACTGCCTGACATACTTGGCTAGCATGTCTATTCCTTCGTCTGGCATATTGTCCGTGGGGATGGCCTTCCGCAGAGCGGTGAAGGGGTGAACCGATCGCCACTTGGGGAACTCATCCTTCACACGCACACACGCACACACAGACGTACATGCGGCAGTCGGCTTCTGATGTGTGTGGTGTTGCCGACCCACCCGCCACTCGGTGAGTGTGTTCTTCATGCCGGGCCATGTGTCCTCTGTGGGGCTGCCAAGCAGCTGACACGTCTTGAACAACGTATCCACCTCGGAATCACCAGGGAACAACGGACGACCTGATACACACACACACACCAACCATCGCCCCACCTCAGACCGACCATGCCGTGTGTGCGTTGCGTTGCATTGCGCTACCCACCGGTGGCCATCTCGGCGATGATGCATCCTGCGGCCCAGATGTCGACCTCTGTGCCGTAGACCCGCTGGCCCAGCAGCAGCTCGGGCGGCCGGTACCACAGCGTGATGACGTCCTGCGTCCCCGTGTACACCCCGATGCAGTGCATCCGGGCCAGGCCGAAGTCGGCTATCTTGAGGTAGCCCCGCTGGTCGATCAGGATGTTCTGCGGCTTCATGTCGCGGTGCACGATCTGGTGCCCGTGCAGATGGGCCAGCCCGTTGATCAGCTGGTACGACAGCGACTTGAGCAGGTCGGCAGGCAGGCCAACCGGAACCGGGTGGTCCTTCTTGGTGCTGTTGCTGTTGCTGGTAGTGGGTGCCATGGCGGCGGTGTCTGCCGAGGTTGTGCTGGCACTGTTGCCACCCTGGGTGGTTGCCGTGCGTCTGATGAGGTGTCTGAGGTCGGTCTGGACGTACTCGAAGACCATGTAGAGGTGTCGCTGCTTGCAGTGGATATCGTAGAGCTTGACCAGGTTGTGGTGGCTGATCTCCCGCAGCAGCGCCACCTCCCTCAGCGATGTGGACGGGATCCCCTCCTCGTCCTCGTTGCCCCGGATCATCTTGACTGCCACCGTGTCGCCCGTCTTGCTGTCCAGCGCCAGATAGACCGTCCCATAAGTGCCCTCGCCGAGTGTGCTGCGGATCTCGTAGCGGTCCAGCAGCAGCGGGGAGGGCGCAGCGGGGCTGTTCGAGGCCGACGATGAGAGCGACGACAGGTCGCCGGTGGACGACGACGCGCACATCATCACGGCAGGGCGTGATGCTGGCAGATAGAAAGTCACGAACGAGAAAAATGGCAAAACTCGGCAGCAGGTGCCGCTACATGCTCGTCCTTCGTCGTGTTTGCCCTCCTTTCCCTCTCCCCGCCACTGTGCGAGCTGATCGCCTGATCGGGAAAAACTCATCGTTTGGCTTTCCTTTGCCATGTAGAGGCCTCCAGCTGCATCTGTGAGGCCTCGGCATCCTCAAATCCCTTCATTACGGGTGTTTCACGATGGATCTGAGCCAGGTGAGGGTCCCGATGGAAGTCCGAAGGAGATCAGGCAAACGGCATCATTTGTGTGGTTCTCTACATGGTGACAGGTGGGCCAGGAGATCCAAAGCGACGTGGGCAAAATGAAATATGCATCAGAGGGGCGCAATCCATCTCCTTCTCTGTGTGTTGTTGTCCATGGGGACAGATAAGTAGGAGTCTGACATCGCATGCTGACCAGCACCAGGTCGACGCTGCCGTCACGTTAGCCTCGCAGGTGATCGAGGGAAGGGGACTCAAACCCCTTGTGGGTGGGAGGTATCTCCATCTTGGTTCGTCGTGTGTGTACTGCGTTCTCAGCTGGGGGATGGTGCCAAGTCCTTGGAGAGTAGTATTGCGGACCTGAATGGCTTCCTAGCAGAGGTAGATGGGCAACGGATCCACCTCGTTGCCGTAGGGACGGTGGGATCTGTCTCTGTGCTGTGCGGTGTCGGTGCAGGTGGGCGGCATAGCGTCGCAGATGCAGCAGCTGCAGCCATCGCAAATCACATCAGAGGTGAGTCAAGCATCCGGTGAGGGAGCTGTACGCACAATCCATCCATTCCGGTTGCTGTGTGCAGGCGTCGTTGCGCGCGGCCCGAGATGTGGGTGAGCAGATGACGTTGATGGCCTCCCACACGGCGGCCGTCACCACACAGCTAGCACTGCAGCGGATCCCGCTTGCACGCGCTGTGGCTGCCCTCACCGCATCGACGGCAGATGAGCCACACCAGGGACAACATCCGGAACAGGAAGCCAGCGACGCTGCCGCAGCAGCACAGACACAGGTAGCCAGGACACTGAAGAGGAGCACTGCAGGAGCTGGCATCAGACGCACTGTTCTCTTCCGTGTGGGTCAGGAAGAGCCGTCGGTTCGAGGTCCTTCGTATCGGCTCGTCTTTCGAAGCGGCAAGAAGCCCATCAACGAACCGGTACACACACTCGGGGCAGACATGCAAACTGATTCGTATCAAAATTGGTTGTGCCGTGTGTCGTGTGTGCCCTTGGTGGCAGCCTGCCCTGGCCCGCGAGTTGCAGGGATGCATCTTAGGCTCCCTCCAGCCCTGGGAGCTCGCACGACTGCGGCCGGCCATCGGCCGGCGCATCTTCCACCAAGCGGCGCAGCAGTACACCCACCTGACGATGGACAGCGATGACGACGAGGCGCGCGGCATGTGGGAGCGAATGTCGTGCGATATGGCGCATAGGTAAGGCCAGAGGAGCCGCAACCTCAAAGAACTTACCATCCGCCACCCAAACCGATACTCAGTCGAAGCCAACTGGTGTGACGGTGCCTGGGTATCCCTAGTTGAAGGCCACGCACACGGTCATACCATTGGGGGGCAGCCGAGCAGTGGTGCGGCATCGTCATCAGCAACAGTGAAAGACGGCATCGAGAGCGCCGCCCCGCCCCTTCGCCATCCCCCTTCACACGCCACACTCCAGGTGCTCCGATTTGACATGCTCGAGTACGGCATCGGGACTCGTGAATGGCACCCCCTCGGCCCGCCCCCCACCGCCCCCGTCCATCTGCCCGCCCTCACCACCGTCATCGATGTCCAGCCCGATCATGCGCCGGCCCGGGTGGGCCGCAATTGGCACACGCCCAACGTCCGAGTGCTGACGTTCCAGGGCACCTATAGCGAGGCCGACAAGTTTGAGGGGGCGCGACAGTGGATTGGCGACGGCACCCAGCTGGAGAAGCTCGAGTACAACTCACGCGGGTACGGCGGACGGATACACATGGGTGCGGGTGCATACCGTGTGGCAGGCAGGAATGGACGCCATCTCGTTATGTGTCTGTGCAGGAACGAATCGTATAACGATGAGTTTCTCAGTGGGGTGCCTGAGGGCAAGTCGCTGTCGGGTCTCCGCTCCCTTGGCCGCGTGAGTGTCACATGCGAGGACACTCATGGCTGGTGGGAGCCTGCCGACATGCGGCAGTTTCGCAATCTGCTCGTGCGGCGAGGGTGCGTGCAGTGCATCCGCGAGATGCACTTCAATCTCGCACTGGATTGGATCGAGGACAGCGCTGAGCAGCGCCAGATGGTCGACAAGGCAGCGGAACTCACGTAAGGAATGCGATGCGGCAGCAATGTCGGATGACGTCTACCCTGACTGCGTATGTGATGTGGGTCTTGTTCCTGTCTTTCAGTGACACGGTGATGCATCCCGACGCCATCAGCCGGCAGCTGATACCCGAGGCGCCATGTGGAGGATTTGGCACGATTAGCCTGCAGCTGCTGGCGTGGAGCCGCGCCCACCGGTCGCCGACGGCCGAGAAGCTCGTGACGGACTACGCCATGGGCGTGTCCACAGTCATCTTCGACGACAGCTCAAGCCCACGCGCAGACGCGGCCCCCGACGAGGAGCAAGATGAGGACGAGCGTCAGGTGTATCGTCCGTACCCTGTGACGCCCGCCACATTCCCCCAGGCCAACAAACTGACGCTGCCGCAGTCCAGCCTCCCGAGGGAGGACATCGGGAGGGCTGTCGAGGTGGCCACTAGCATGCCCCGGCTGGAGCACATCGACGCCAGCAGCTCTGGGGTCGCAGTGGGCTTCCTCCAGGCATTCCACGCGGCGGCACCAGATAGGGCGATCGGCACAGTGACGCTGCAACTGCCACTCAAAGACCTGAGCTCCAAGCGGTGCACTTTTGACGAGTGGGGCAAGAGCCGTAATATGCTGCCGGCAATCGAGCGCATCACTCTGAGTGTAGTAGGTGGGCAGACAACGTGCGTGGATGGATGGACAGCTGGTCCATGTTGTGTGTTACGCGTGAATGTAGGTAACACGCAGGACGGTTCGAAGCTCGAGAGATTGCACGCCAACGTTGTGGCCCTCATGCAGCAGACCAGCCATGTCAAGGTGGGTGGGTACAATGGAAGGGAAGACTGGTGCCTGGTCAACCAACGGCCCTGCTGCTGCCTGTGTGTGTCGTTGGTTTGCATGTGGTGCCTTTACACAGGGGGCTCCGCGTATCGATGCGACCTTCTCGCCCCATGGTGGTTTGGCGAAGAAGATCAGCGAGCGGTTTGCGTCTGCGCACGCCCTGTTCAATCTCTCGAGCTCAAGCACCAAGTTGCAGCTGGAATGGGCTGAATCGGATAGGCTCGAGCTGACGCGGCTCGATTAGATAGATACACAGATCGATTGGCTGGCTGACTGACTAGTGTCTGGAGAGATGTGGATAGTGTGTATAGTATACATGGGTCACTCGCTGCCTCAGGGACCAGGTGTGTGAATCCTCCATCCATTCGAATGATCGTTTTTGACGTCCCATAAGTCCAAAGTAGGCCTAAATTGAGTGAGGTTGCACTCTACCGATATGCACACAGACGCACCAGGCACCGAAGCCAGGCAACCCCCAAGTCACTGGATCAACGGATGGCTATATAATAGAGGTATGTGAGTATGTCTGTACACATCGATCCCTCCTTCGACGTAGGCAGCGAGGCAGCGATGGATATACACATAAAGCAAGGAGCGAGACGCATGCAATGGAATGCAATACGGGGAGTGACGCTAAGCTCTTCTCCGTGAACACGCACACATCACACAACACAACTCGCAAATGCACCGACCACCCTCCCCATGACAACACCAACACAATCGATGGGTCGATGTGCCACACATGGTACACACAGTGAGACAGCGAGGCAGGCAGTCAGGCAGTCGATATAAAGGAGGAAGCTATGCAGTGAGGGGTCAAAACGCCATAAAGGCTGCCTCTGGCTGACACGGACACACAGCAACGAAACTCTCAAATCAACCACTGTCCCCCTCCCATGATATAGCATGCCGGCCGTCAACACATGTATTCGACCACCCCCCGCCAGTGGGTCGATCTGTCGTCAGGAGAATATGGCGGGGGTCCAGCCGGTGAAGACCTGCCGACACACTGGGCACTGGCGAGGCTGCATGGTCTGTGCACATTGCCGGCAGATGATGAAGTGGTTGCACGGCCGCAGCACCACCGATCGCTCCCTCGCCTGGCACACCTGGCAGTCGGTGGCCTCCTCTCGCGCCCTCTGGTTGCTCTGCTGCATCTGCTGCTGCATCTGCTGACGCAAGTCAGTCAACCTGACACACCGACCAAAGCACAGGCGGCGCCCGCCTTCAGAGGTGTGGCCTTGCTCTGTGTGAAGGGGTACTGACTGGTCGATGTGCTTGCCTCGCAGCTTCTCAATGTCGGCCTGAAGCGACCCAACGCTAGCTTGGAGGCTGGCACGCACAGGGAGGCAGCAGAACCATACAGGGTCTCTAGGTGTGTGCAGGTTGTGTGCATACATACCTGGCGATCTCCTGCCCTTGGGATGCACTTTCCTGTCTCAGCGAGGTATTCTCCTGCCTCAGTGACGTCTCCCTTTGAGCAGCGGCCCTGACACGCAATGAAGAAATGAGCAAACACCCGTGTGTAAGTGAATTGGCCGTCTTCCTTGCACGAAGTAGTACCTCTTGGCTTGCTCGATGTGCCGCTGCATCTCGGTGACCTGCTGCTGACGGGCAGCCTTCTCGCGATCAACGGCGCTGAGCAGCCCAAAACAACACACGCAACACACAGCTGGACATGGCCCTGGGTGCGTCTTGTGGTTAGTGTAGGTAGACACCTGGTGAGCCGCTGGTACTGTTGGCTGAGCTGCTGGCGGTACACCTCATTGGCCTTCTTCATATCGGCCTGGAGCCGCTCGTTGGCCAGGGTGTCGGCGACGGTCTGCTCGCCCGCCAACTGAGCCTTTCGCAACCTGCACAGATGACGCAAAACGGGCCCATCTCGGTGGACGTGCTGATGTGGTGATGCATTTTGTACCGTTCGATCTCCTGACGTTCAGCCAGAGTCTCCTGCTGGGCCGCGTCGACCTGCTGCTGGGCCGCCATATCCCGCCTCATCAACTCACGCCTACAGCAAATGAGACAAATGAGCGTGTCCTATTCTGCTCCTCCCTCCATCCCTCCGATGTGGCCCTCTCACTGCAATGCTTCGATCTGCTGGTCTCTGCCCGCCAGCTCAGCAGCAAACCTGACAGCGACACGAAGACACCGTGGCCATCTGATCAACTGCCGTAGTCTGCCTCTCACCTGGCCCGCATCGCCACAGTCTCCTCTCCGCCACTCACACGCCCGTCGTCACCGCCCGCCGCCCCTCCATCGCTCTCTTCAGCCCCCTGGCCAGTCAGACGCTCGTCACCACCGCCACCATGCCCACTCGCACCATCAACCGACAGCAGGTCATCAGACTCACGCCCGCCACCGGGCAACAGGGGCATGAAGGGGGCCATCGGAGCCTGCGGCGGCCCACTGGCAGAGCTCATGGCAGCAGCAGAGCCATCTGCAGCGACACTTGGGCCATGGAGAGGGCTGCTGGATGGCTCGTCGGCGAGCTCGAGACCGTTGACCCTCTCCCCCTCTCCCTCACGCACCGATGGGCTGCTGTCGACCGCGAGAGATGCTGCGGCTGCGGCTGCGGCTAATGGGAGTGGGCCGGCCGATGCGCCAGGCGCAGCTGATGGCTTCTTCTTCTTGTGTCGTTTCTTCTTCTTGGCCTTCTTGCCGCCCTCGCCCCCCTGCTGCCCGCCCCCACCATGCTGCTGCCGGTCCTCACTGTCGTCGGACACCTGCTCGCCGATTGACCGCAGGAGGTTCTTCTCGTTCCTGCGCGCCGTTGCCTCCCTGGCCGCCATGGCGGAACTGACGGCCTCGTCGGTCGTCTTGTCGGCTTGGCGCTTCATGCGCCGCTCCTGCTTGGCTTTGAGATTTTTCCTGCTCTCGAGCTTCTCACGCAGCTCCTCGCGCACCACGTCACAGCGGCTCTTGTGCTGGCCGTCGACTAGAAGCTCCTCGCCGGTGACCATCTTCTGATGCAGATCTGACATAAGAATGCCATCCAATGTGTGCGGAATGTGTGCGCGTCCGGTGCTGCTATTCGTACCGATATCTCTGAGCATTTCCGCCTTTGCCGCGGTGTTCTTGTTGATTTGCTTGCTGACGCTGGCGATCTTGGCGTCGATGCTGTCGGTCCCCCTTGTCGGCCTTGGAGGCGGCGGCCTTGGCCCTCTGCCCCTTGAGGCCGTCGAGCTCGGTCTGCAGTGTTGCCAGTAGGTTCTCGATCACCTCAAGCCGCTTGCACTTGCCATGCAAAGCCTGAAGACAGCAATGACGAATACACAGTGACAGCTGCAGACTATCCGCAACATGCTATCTCTTGTACCTGGTACACCAGCCGGGTGGCCTCTGACATGACATGACAAAGGAGATCGCACAGATGTATGTCCCTGCCTTTTCCCCTGCTCAGCCCACTCACCAGTGAGGGCGGTGCGTGCTGCATCGACGTCCTCTTGAGTGATGTTGTTGATGGCAGGGTCGTCCTTGAGAGCCTCGAGGTGTTTCAGACAGTCGCGATACGTGGCCAGATCAGCTGCCGTCACAGAAAAGGAGTTCTGGAAGCCTCGGTTGTTGGAGAATAGGCTGTTGGAGTACAGCACCATCAAAGAGGGCGCCTTTCTGGCGACGGTGTGCCACCACGTAAGGGGACTCATTGGGTCGTAGGACCGCACCAGCACACGACACAGGTGACTGGGAAGACGCGACGAGGGAACATATGTCTGCAGATCGACGGAACCCAGGCCTGAACACACACACACAATGGAGGTGAGAGGAAAGAAGACTGAACGCGCGCGTCCCTGGTGCCTCGGCTCCTCACATGTGTCGATCACTGGATGCCCAAAGCTGTTTTGCCGGTTCATGTCCTCGATCACGGGAAGGACATACAGGTGTATGCTGTCATACAGGTGTGTCTCGGGGAGAGGAATGTCTGAAGCGTTGACAGGCAGAACAACCAAGTAGTCGCACGTAAAAGCTGGCACAATGATCCAGAGGCATTGCCACCTCCTCTTTCTGCACATGCACTTACGCGTGAGGTCCAGAAACGGTTTGCTTCTGATCTCCTTCTCCTTGGCCCGCAGCCTCTCCTCCCTCCACTCCCGTGCCACCCTCCATCTGTCCTCCTCAGCTGCGTCAGTTGCCGGCGGCAGGCGGGCGTCGTCGGCTGCCCACTGACGCTCCTTGACAGCACGTGCATCGGCGAGCTCACTCTCACGCGCAGCATGGGCCCTGCCGACGGCTTCGCGGACCAATGAGGCAAAGTCGCCACTTGCCAGGAACTGTCCGCCAACGAGCTTGCCCAGCGGCTCAGACGCTACCGAATGAGTACATATGAAGCAGCCTCATGTGCGCGAAGCTTGCTAGTGGCTTCACGTACATGACAGAGAGAGGCTCGATAGTGTGAGGTCCTTCAACGCGAATTGGAGGAAGGGCTCAATGGTGGTTGCGGTGGCAGGCAGATACAGGCGCCTGAATGGACATACGGTCAGCTGCGTACACCGTGTAGACACACGGGAGTATGTGACCTACCTGAGAGTGCGTCTATTTGGGTTGGCCTTGAGGCCAATTGTCGCGGAAATGACCGTGCCCTCAACGATGGGCAGCGACAGCTCGCCAACCAAGCCGAACGACAGATGGAGCCCCGTGCACGTGATGGTGCCAAAGAGGCGCTCGAGTACTCTCTGCCGACAAGAGAGATGCCAACAGAAGAGGGTATCAGCAAGGCCTTCTCAGTGTGGCTAGTGCGTTTCAGACCTGCAGTTGGTCGCATCGATCGGCCTCGTTGTCAGTCTCGGTCAAGACTATATCGACCAGAGTCAGATATTGGAACGATCTGCCACAGAGGCCCTGCAGGCGATACAGCACATACAATTACAGCCCAGTCTGTCAAACGGATTTTCATTCTTCTTTTCGCCGGCCGACCTTGAGCAAGTTCAGATAGGAGTTGAACGACATATGACATGAAGCGACTGTCATGCACCTGTACACATGCATCACACGGCCTCAGTGAATGCTCCGTTGTCTCCTTCTCTGTCGTGCAATCACACCTGAGTGTCGTGAAGGGCCTTTCTTTCTTGTCGTCCCCCGTGTCGATCTCCTGCCCCGCCTCTGTCGTATCCTGACGATCCCCCGCGGGGCCCGCCTCTGTCGTCTCCTGTCCGTCCTCTTTTGAACCTCCCGGCACGGCAGCCGACGACGTGCTGGGGATGCGGGTGACGTCACGCGATGATGACGGCGGCGGGGACGCACTCTCGCTGCTGTTGCTCTCGCCCTTGCCGTCTCCTTCGGGCTGGGCCTTGAGCAGAGCACTCAACACGTCGATGAAGGCACAGCCCAGGCTTCCGCTCTTCAGGTAGAGGATGGCAAGTGAGGGCAGGCGGCCAATGGCATTGGCGAGCCGGATGCACTCGTCATCGGGCATCTGGCGCAAATCCACATCTGCGAGGCACACATACCCTGACAATGAGCGGCAGCGTGCGCGCTCTCTTGCGACCGGCTTACACATGAGTTTGAGTCTGAAGAGCTTGTCAGCCCTATCGAGGAAAGCGATAAGGTCGCTGACGTCGTCGGCGGTCGGTGAGCACTCCCAGCGGATCGACAATGTCAACATCATACGGGGGGAATACCTGATGGGAAGGATGAAACCGTGAACACGAGTGAATCGCTGTCAGCATCCCTTCTTCATCGGCATACCTGGCCAGTGCCGCCGCCAGCCGATTTTGATTGCTCACGGAGATCGATGCATCTGGCGCCAGCAGCTCGTGATTGACATATGCCGAGATGCGCTCCGTCGCACGGACGGGACACAACCTAAAGGCAGCCAGCACAGAGTCACCATTGAGTGTACGTCTGTTCATGTCTGTATGCGTGTGAAGGACGGTTTACACGTCTAGCAGACTTCGACACGAGACCGCCAACATAGCGACTTGTGCAGCAGTGAAATACAATGGTCCAGAGAAGCTCAATGGCCCACCAAGCTCGTAGATAGTGTGGAGGACTCGCCTGTCCGACAAACACCGCACCATGGGATTCTGATATACACCGAGAACACATGTGAGGGGTCTGCCATACATGTTCGCTCTCTCTGTACCCACCTGCTTGTTCTGCTGCCGTGCGGCCTCTCTCTGCGGGTCCTGCTGCGATGAGACCCACCGATCGATCGCCACCTGCTTCAAGGAACACACACAGTGGCAAGCAAATGATTAATCGGCCTACGTGAAAGCACGGCAGACCTTGCGACCGTGGAACGCCGCGAAGAAGTCCAAAATCTGCAACCATAGGTGCACAGACCTGTGAGCCTGCGTGTTGTTTACACTTCACTCACCTCCTGTAGGAGGCTGTCTTGTGACGCCGCCATGAGGGTACCGGATAGGGCAGAGGTGTCCACCTGCAAATGGAGGGCGTCAAACACAGCAGCAGACACATTGATGTGACCGCGGATTCGGTCATCGTTTGACCCTACGAACCTGCAGAACACGTTCGACGATCGGGTTGTCTTTACTCTTGCCGCTCATCAGCTGCCGGTCCCAACAGCTGCACAAATGAAGAGAATTCACTCGAGGCACTCAAAACATGACGGACAGGTGCACCCGGAGGGGCTGTTCAGGACGCTCATCGCGGGGCTGACGAAGTTGTCGTTGTCGCCGCGAGGGATGGATGCGAGAAATGCAGTGTCTTGTGTCACAGCGCTCGACAGCTGGCATACCATCAGCTCGGCCAGGCCCTCACACGATGCATACTGAGGAAAAGCGAAGACACTCGCAACGAGGAGACATGGATTCCATTCGATTATTTCCTGACCGTCTGACGATCGACAATGAGGCGGATCAGACCAATGCTCATGGCCACTTCGTTGGTGTCCATGATGCTCAGCGTCGCCGATAGGAAGCCCGCGTGCACGAGGCGCTCGCAGTAGCCCGATTCTGACAAAACACATACGCACACGAGAAGTGAACAAGCAGGATCAGCTATGCACCAATACATACCAGCCATTGCCACTATCACGCTCAGACAGTCCCAGACGATGCAAACCGGCCACTGGGAGGCGGCGTGATTCTTCAGCGAGGTGGCCGTCTTGCCCAGGGCAAGAGGGCTCGCTGCCACACTACAGCACATGGACGCCAACACACCTGCGCGTCCACACACATAGTAGTAATGTGACGAATCGACGAGTCTCCTGAGTATCTAGGTGTCCCGCACCTGGGTCAGAGATAAAGCGGCGGGCGTGTGAGAAGATGAGCCCTATCAGGCCGTATGCCCTCCAAACCGTCGCCTGGTCACTGCTGTTGGCCTGGGTCTCGACGAGCACATCGATGTGGCAGAACAAGTGCTGCCGGAAGGCCCCCAGCGCCTCAGCAAACCCTGAACGGCCCAAAAAGACACACAGATGCATGGAAGGATAACAGCCATGTTTGCCGCACCACACGATCACCTTGCATTCTCCCGCAGGAAACCACTTGCACCACTTGCATAGCTGCAATGAAGAGATCGTCCGGTAGTGTCAGCCTCCCCAACACTGTGTCCACCAAGACACCAAACAGCGGCAGCCACTCCACACCAAAGGGATACCGAGCCTGACAAAGTTGCCGGAGGAAGCACGTCGCCGCATTCTGATGCTCTATGTCGCTGCTGCTGTCATTGACGAGGCCGACAATGCAGCCGGCGAGACCACCGAGACCCTGCTGTCGGTGTGCCTCGTCCTTCTTGGCCAGCAAGCCCACCACTTGCTTGACTGATGGATCGTCGTCGCGCAGGCGGGGCAGCTCCCTGAGTGTCTCCACATGGCTCGCGAAGGGGTCGCTGTCACCAGCCAGAAGAGCATCAGCACCCAGCGAAAGAGCATCAGCAGCCAGCGACATGATGGCAGCAGAGCCCGACGTCTGGCCCTTCCGCGTGTTGGCCATGTGCTGCTGGTGGGGTGTGACGGGGGAGGGGGTGGGGGGAGGGAATGGACGAGAGGGACCCGCTGGTTGCCGACCTGCTGATGCAGCTGCTGAGGCGAGTGGCGATGGGTCGATGCTGCTGGTGAGGTCGACGACCAGCTGGTACTGCTTCTGCATGGATGAGGAAGCACTGGAATGAATAGGTGTAGAGGAGAGCTGATCCTGAAAGCCACAAGCACACACACACACACACATGCAGAGAGAGAGAGAGAGAGACCACACAAGCATCCTCGCGTGCACTCCTGCCTTGGTGTCTGTCTGTATGTACCGGTGTGGTGTCGACAATGGCATCTGAATCATCTGTAGGCCCATGGCCGTGCCCCGCCCCTCCCATCAGCGCAGGGCAGCCTCCCTGCTGCTGCACCGCCACGCCGCCGAGGGGGGTGGAAGTGAGCTGCACGGACTGGGCACGATGGACGGATAACTGCTGGCTTTGGTGCTGAGTCTGATGCCGAGACTCAGCTTTGTCTAAGATATGCGGGCCGCTGTCAGCTTCTTGATGGGGAGATCCCACTGCTGGTTGGGCAGACGACGCACTGACTGGACGGCCGCCATCGCTGCTCCCAGACGATTCATCGCCGCGCCGCTCACTCCCACCAGATCCCCCCTCTGCTGACGTGCCCTTCAGAGGCGACTGTTGCTGCTCCTGTGCCTGTGGTTGCTCCTTTTGGTTCTCAGGGATGCCGTCGGGGCTGCTGTCTGCCGAGCGGCCGCTGGCGGCCAGTCCTTCTGAATCGGCTCCATGGGCACAAGCACTCGATAGGCTATCTACCTGCATAAGTCAACGCCAAAACAGACACACACGACAGACGTACAGGTCCATGGTCCTTGTTTCACACAGCGACGCTTACAGTGAGTCTGTGCGGCCGACAGGTGGAAGATCATCGACATCCCGTCAGAATGCAACACCACAGCAGCTGCGGGAAAGGCCATAACGCCCTCGCTCACCTTCCGAGGAAGGCAAGCTCGCAGATCGCCTTCTCCGACGCCAAACCGCCGCCGCTGCCACTCCCCCTCCCCCGTGCGCAGCAGAACGCAGAGGCTTCGCTGCATCGAGATCTATCGATTCGGGACACCAGCAGTCATCGCCTTGTATCTGCATGCACCATAGGATCCACACTCTCATCGGCCGGCAAGGACACGGAAGAGATGCTGCTGAACGTGGGAGGGACGCCCATGACCTTCCCACGTGACCGGCTGCTCCGTCGAGGTCTGAGGGACACCTGCTTGGCTGTGCTGCTGCATCGCTTCGAGGACTGGATGGTCAAAGACGACATCGGCATTCACTTCATCGACGCAGATCCCAAGTTCTTCATTCGGTGGGAGCCACGCCGAGATGACAGCTCACATGCGCCACAGCGCACTCATGCGTGGATCCTGCTGTGTTGTGTTTGTGTCAAGGTTGGCCGCCGGCCTGCGTCAGATGTGGAGCAGCTGGGTGAGCTCAGGACAGATCTGCGGTGCTGACACTGCATTGGCCTTTTACTACGACCGCTTCATGGCCAAGACGGCCCTCAAGATCGAGCCACAGCCCGGCGACAGTGAGAACAGTGCCTTCCGTGCCTTCATGGCCATCATGGGACCCTTCATCAAGACGTCCTGTGGCGGGACGGGCGGCATTGAGGTACTCACCATCAACGGACTCGTCGTGTCGACCACCGACGCCACACTGGCGGCATTCACAACACTCAACAAGCGGTTCACCGAGTGAGCGTTGCGGGCAGCACACCAATAAGGAGTCAGACGAGAGTGTCACCCGTGCCGTTGTTCGTGCAGGTACAGTGGCCCGGTTCTGACCTCTCTCAACCACTTCCACAAGTAAGTCGAGATGTGTGTGAGTCCGGGGCAAACAAACATAGGTGCCTGGTTTGCTCTCACAACACACATAGGGTGGTGGACTATGCCCAGCGCTGTCGCATCGCCCCTGCCGACGCTGTCATCGACTTGCCCGCGTGTGAGGATGGCGACGTTGAGCTGTCGCTCGCGGTTGAGATGTACGGCCTGCTGGATGACGGCTGTCCTAACATACTCTCTGCCGACACCATGCGCACACTGCTCAGCATGACCGGCAAAATGCACGCGCTATGCCTCTTGAAGTGAGCAATGGATCGCGGACATGGCAAAAGGGAAATTGGACCACACGGGTATGATGGTTTTTTGTCCGTCAGGAGCTCAATCCACGGCTGTGATTTCGAGACGTTGCTTGCGCGAGCGGCCGGTGCGTATGGCCTGCTGTTCGTCATCGAGGATGAGCACCACCACACGCTCGCGTGCCACATGGACGGGCCTTTCATCCCCCCCGCTGACCCCACATCTGAGCTGCTGACCGGCTGCCCCGTCACCTTCTTCTCCATCAGTGGCGCATTCCTGGAGGGCATCACCAAAATCAACATACCGCACAATTGGCAGTGTGTGGACGTCGCCGGCACGGAGGGGGCGGCAAAGACCGACAAGGGTGCGTCATGTGCCAAGGTCGCCATCGGTGGCGGCCGTCTGTGGCTGGGTCACAAGGATGGCCGGCCGAGTAACGACCTTCGGCACTGCCAGCAGTGGCTGCGGAGGGATGATCTGCCCGACGGCGGCGAGACGTACATGGGCAGCTACAACGAGGTGGGATCGGCCACACTAGCTGCCACCTATTACTTCACCGCCACGCGACTGGAAGTGTACCAGGTCAGCCACACATGGCCATGAAGCGTCGAATCCATGGGGACCTCATGACTCTCCATTGTGTTGCTGATGTGATGTGGGTCAGGTGTGGAGCACTCGTCCGGCTGACCCCATCCTCTCTGCTGACGACCTCCAGGCCCTCATCGACATGGCGACCGACACACCGATGACTTCACAGCTCCTCTACAAGTGAGTGAATTGCCAAAGGAGGGGCCATGCCTGATGCTCAAGCGCACTCCCGCTCTCCTGCCTCTTTGTGTGTGTCAGGGGTGAGCGTGACGGTTGGACCTATGAGGCCCTCTTCGCCAAGGTGGGCGGTGCGGTCGATCTGCTGCTGCTCTTCAAGGACACCGGCGCCCACACCTTCGCCAGCCACATCAAGGGGCAGCTCAAGCCGCCAGACGACCCCACGGCAGTCGAGACGACACCCTGTTCCGTCACCTTCTACTCCATCAGTGGCGCATTTGAGCCACAGGGCATCACCAAGATCACCGTGCCCGACAACCAGCAGCGTGTGGTGGTCGCCGGTGCAGAGCGGTTGGTGAAGGGGACGAAAGACATGGCCGGCAAGGTGGCCATCGCTGGCGGCCGCCTGTGGTTGGGGTACCGGTTCGGGGAGGGTGGTCCGGCTGGCGACCTTCGCAGCGGCTGTCAGCTTGTGCTGAAGGCTGAGCTGCCCGACGGCGGCAGGACATATCTCGGCGGCTTCGACAGTCATGGATACGCCACGTTGGCTGCCAGTTATGTGTTCACGTATGCCAATCTGGAGATTTATGCACTGCGGGTCAGACACGGACTGGACTGGAGAGGAGAGGGGAGGGGACACAGCACGGCACATATCGCGTTTCGCTTCTGTTCAGGCGTTGGACGGGCCGGCCCGCCCAACGCCGTAACAGATGCTGGTCTTTTATCGATCTTCGTGATTGTACAGACTATCTTCATACAGTCTCATGTATTTGTCTAGCTACATACCTGCATAGCTTCCCTGTGGTTGCAAGCCGATCTATCCACATTAGGAAAGTGATGATGTGCCGGTGCGTGTTTCCTAATCGATCGATGTGTTATGGATGGATGGATTCATGGATGGATGAATTGGAGCCAGTCAATCTGTCAGTTCATGTGTTCTGTCGCTCAGCGACTGTAAACGCCGTAGTCGATGGCATACTCTGAAGGAACAGACAGACATGTAGACACAAACTTCCTAGACTGAGTTGCTGAGACTTGCCTGGGAAGATGTATTCTCGGGTAAACTGGCCTGGCTGCGGCTTTGAGTCCACTCTTGCCTCAATCTCGTTGCGCTACACAAACATACGCACCCACACATCCATCCATTCATCCATCTGTCCGTCCATCCCTGTTGAAAGTGTGATCGTACCTGTGGGTCAAATTTGATCTTTTCGACGCTGTATGAGCCGTTACGAAAGTACGGTGTCCTGAAACACACACGCGCACAGACACACGCACACATTGACCATCCAACAACCGTGTCTCGGTGCGCGTGCATGCCTTCCCGCTCTCTTGAGAATGGATTGGTAGAGGTTGAGGCCGTTCTGTGCAGTTTTGTCCGAGAGCTCGTCCAGCTTTCTCATGTTCTTGTCAGTGCTCTTCAACCTGCACCAAATGAGCACGGGACACGCACACAGATGGACATGGCTCTCACGTACAGGTCGGCCATGATCTCGTCGTTGCCCTTCTCCTTCTGTCTGAGGTCGGTCAAGCGTCTCGCCTCGGCAGAGCGCTCATTCGCCAGCTGAACGTCAGACAAACTGCATGCGCACAAGAGAGAGACATGAACAATGAGACACAAGAGAGTCTGTCATTTGCCTGACGTGTCGTGCGGTGAGCTCTCCTCCATGTGAATGTTCACAACGCTGTATGGCGGCGGGTTGATGTTGCCAATCCCTCCGCTGGGAGGGAAGAGAGGCGACACGACCGACACCCACGCGCAGACCAACAGCAGAGACAGCACACGGCACACCATCTTGACTGATCGGTTGACGGCTTGAAGGAGGGTGAGATATCGATGTCCCCTTGCTGTCTGCCTCTGTTTGTCTCAACGAGGCCTCTGTTTGTCTCAGTGTGTGTATGTGTGTATGTATTCATTTTGTACACATGCGCATCGCATGTGTGTTAATTGTCAGTCTGTTTGCCCCGATCGACAGCATCGCCCTTTGAGTCGCTGTCTCTCTGCTCGCATCGCCACTGACAGGACAGCCATGGTGTGCCGCTTCGTCACTCTCCTGGCCCTCGTGCTGTGTGCGTCCTCCACCCACGCAATCGACACCGACACCCTCCTCTCACACACGGCCAGCAAGGCACGCGCCAAGACAGAGAAGACAAGGGCCGCCATCGATGAGCAGCTCGCCACGATGCCCGACCCCGTCCCCACCGCCATGCGCGCCGACGTGTCAGTGAAGGAGAGTGCGGCAACGGGGCAATCGTCCGTCGTGCACAATGATGATGATGAGACACAGATGCCGCCGTCCATGAGATTCATGCAAACACAGAGCAAGGTATGGGAGTGGACGTCTCACGTGCCCTCACATTTTCTCGCTGAACGTCTCTGTGTGTGTGTGTCTCTTGTTTTGTTTTGTTGGTTGTGCAGCTGCGTTCTCGGAGCAAGATCATCGGCGACGAAGTGAGTCTGCAATTGAGACATGCAATAGACCAATGCAGTCTGCTCTCATGTGATCTGATGCACAATGCAGGCTCCACCACCGTACCCAGTCATCGTGAGACAGACAGACAGACAGACAGACAGGAGGAACAGACACATTCATGTGAATGTCTGAATGAGTGCAGAATGTGCACATGGAGGAGCCGGCGGCTGACAGCCACGTGGAGACACAAGTGCTGGAGGAAAGACGTGCTGAGAGATTGCGACTCGCTGAACTGGAAAGACAGGTCAGACCAACACACCTATCATGTGTATGCGTCTCTCATGTGTGTGTCTCTATGTGTGTGCAGGAAGAGGCTGACAAGGAGAGCTTTCAGAACATGCTGTCGATGCAGAACATGCAGGTCGTCCCACACAATATGCCATCCAAAATCATGTGAATGTGTGTGTCTCTCTTGGTTGGCCTCATCAGTTGCAGCGTCTGTCCGATCTGTCAGCATCTTTGGGCGAGGTGGGCCGCCAAGTGGTGCAGAGCAACAGAATCCGCGCCAAACAAGACCAGAAGGCAGGATCGAAAGTTCAAATCATACAGTACGAGAACCAGCCGCAGGAGAACCACATCGACATCAGGTGCGCATACCCAAAGAACCGACACATGCCTGACAGACACGCGCCTCCCTCACACAAATGTGTGTGATGTCCTCTGCCAGACAACTGAAGGGCCTTCGGGCACTCCTCAGCCGATGATGAGAAGACGGACAAACGAAGAGTGAGAGACGTGGATGAGTGCATGCGCGAACGTCGCTGAATAAATGAACGAATCTTCGCCGTGTTCGTGGGCGACGCAGCTCATTCATTCACTGCACTGCAAACGTGTCCACACAGAACGCACAAGCTCAATTACAGGGATACAACACACAACTCAATTAGAGAAGCGTCACACGCAAAAAGACAGAGAGCACCGTGCATGGTACATACATCGATCCGACGCACACACTCAAAAACAACTCGAGAAGACAGACACCTGCCGTGCAGCGCTCGCCTGTCTCAACCCTACTATATGTACACGCCTGCCTGTCTGTCTGTCAGCTGGACTGGTAGGCCGGCCACACCACATACCACACCACAACACAACACACACACACTAGTCTGTGTGGGATCCCCTCTTCGGCGTGTCGCCCTCGAATTGGTTGCAGCTCATGAGGTAGCGGAGCAGGTCGATCCGAGTGACAACGCCCACGACCACCTGCCGCATCCTGTACTCCTCCGCCCCGCCCACGAAGCACTTCTGCTCCGCCACCACGAGCACAAAGGGGTGCAGGTCGAGCGTCTTGGACAAGAAGTCCAGCGGACAATCCAGCCCCACTCGCTTGAACTTCTTGTACATGCACTTGCCTGCACACAGTAATGCAATGCACGCAGGCAGTATTTGTGTGGACGAGTGTGTGTTCCCCCTCATTTCGACTCACCGATGGGGTCCTTTCCCTTGAGCCGTCCTGACGATAAATATGAGCTGAGGTTGCCCTCGGTGATGACGCCCACCACCTGCCCGCCCGTCTCGCCCTCGTCGCTCACCACCGGCACCTGGTCGATTCCCTCCTTGTCCAGCAGCTTGATCACGTCAGAACAAGTCGCCGACGGGCTGACCGTCACTGGTGCCCGCAGAGAGAGGGCGGCGACTGTCGTCTTGCCCCACTCTGGCTCTTCAGCGGAGCCCCGCTCGGTCGGCCGCTCCATGAAGCCGTTGTCCCACATCCAGTCGTCGCTCAGGAACTTGCTCATGTAATTCCTGCGGCAGGGAGCAATACATGCACTGCACGGCTACTTTCTTTCGTCCTTGTGTCGTGCATACCGGCTGGAGTCGGGCAGCACCACGACGCACCGCTGGTCTTTCTTGAGTTGTCTGGCGGCCTTGAGCACTCCGGCAACTGCGGCGCCCGATGAGCCGCCGATGAGCAGGCCCTCGGTGCGTATGAGGTCCCTGGCCAGCTCGAAGGACTCCTTGTCCTCCGTCTTGACCCAGAAGTCCACCACACTGCGGTCAAGGGCCGTGGGGATGAAGTCATAGCCGATGCCCTCCACAAAGTACACCTGAACGAGCGAATGAACGAACCATAGGAAGACATATCCACATCCTTGCTGGTGAAGGGTGCCTTCTGCTGCTGCTGCTGCTCCTGACCTGGTTCCTGCCAGGGTCGTTGAGTGAGTCGGGCTGTGCGAGGATGGATCCCCGCGGGTCGACGCCCACGACGACACAGTTGGGGTTCTTCTCCTTGAGCTTCCGACCGATGCCCGTCACCGTGCCCCCGGTGCCGGCGCTGATCACAGCCATGTCCACCTTGCCATCGCACTGATCCCAGATCTCCTGACCCGTGCCCTCATAGTGCGCCAGCGGGTTGGCGGGGTTCTTGTACTGGTCCAGGATGTGGGAGTTCTCGAGCTGCGCGTTGACCTTGAGGGCCAGGCCGATGTGCGACTCGGGAGAGTTCCACGCCGCCTCGGTGGGCGTGCGCAGGATCTCGGCACCCAGCGCCTTCATCATGTTGACCTTCTCCTGACTCATCTTCTCGGGCAAGGTTATCAGCATCCGATAACTGACACGCACACACGCACACAATCATGGCAGGCATTTCCAGCACCCCCCTCATCCATCCATCCATGCATTGCTCACCCTTTGATTGCAGCGGTGAGTGCGAGTCCGATGCCCGTGTTGCCCGAGGTCGGCTCGATGAGTGTGTCGCCCTGCTTCAGGAAGCCGTCCTTCTCGGCCTCCTGCACCATCCGCAGCCCGATGCGGTCCTTGACCGACCCGCCCGCATTGAAGTACTCGCACTTGGCCACCAGGTCACACTCGAGGTCATACTTCTTGGCAAACCGTGACAGCCGGACCATCGGCGTGCGGCCTGCAGTGCACACACCACACACACACACACATCATAAACGGAGCAGCCCTGCCCTTGTGTGCAGAAGATCTGTTCGCTCACCGATGCATCCGAGGATGCTGTCTTTGATCTTCTGCTCGGGGCATGGCGGGATGGAGTGGTGCGGACACGGCTCCGTGCAGTTGGGCGTCCACGTGCACTTCTCACACCCATGGTACGAAGGGAAGGTGATCTCAGCCGTGCCGGACTGGCGCAGCTCCGGTTGACCCGACATCTCTCTGCCTCTCCTGCTGCCTGAACGTCTGCCTGACGCCTTCCGAGGCTTCCAAACTCACTTTCTAATGCGCGCTTAGCTCGCAGAACCGGCGTTTCCCCGGAGAGAAAAAGAAGTGTGAAGCTACCACGAGTATTGCCGTCGAGTGGACAGACAGGCGCACGGCTTGATCTTTATCCATCTCATCTCATCATCTTGCCTACCATTCGTCGTCGGAACGGAGATCCAGGAGAGCATCCTCATCCCTGACCTGGCCTGTGTGTGCGCAGGCGGCAGCAGTAGTGTCAGGATGGCCTCAGCGGTGCACAAACTGAGGCCGGAGGACCAGGCGAGGATCGGCAAGGCCCTCGTAGGCAAAGATCTCAAGGGATTCGCATGGACCCAGACCAATGGGCACGTCATCGTAAGCCACACAGGCCGATGCGCGTGTTGTGATGGCTTGGAGGATGCATGTGTGTTTTGTTTGTCTCTGTCTGTTTCTCTCTCTGTGTCAGTACACGTGGGAGGACGGCAAGTGGGACGAGGGTCGCTTCGAGCACGACCCCTACATCAGGTGCCACATCATGTCCAACTGCTTCCACTACGGACAGGCATGCTTCGAGGGACAGAAGGCGTTCCATCTCAAAGACGGTCAGGGCGACACACGCCTGATGGATGGACTCATGAACGAGGTCTGCTGTGTTTGGGGTTGGCTACATGTGTGTGCAGGCCGTGTGTGCATCTTCAACGACAAGGTGGGATGACCGCCTTCGTTGAACCCATTCTTGTGTCCATGCCTGTGTGTGTCTGTGCGTGTTGTGGTTCAGGCGAATGCGCTGCGTATGCAGATGTCCAACACACGGATGATGATGCCGCTGGTGCCGGTCGAGATGTTCCAAAAGGCGTTGGATTGGGTGGTGCACGAGAACCTGGAGTACCTGCCCACCTACGACATGAAGGGATGCTCCCTCTACATCAGACCATTCTGCATCGGTACACAGACAGACAGACAGACAGACAAACGAGCCGCTGGCATGATGGGTGTGCCTGTAATGGTGTGTATGTGTGCAGGTGTGGGTGATTTGATCACTCCCGTGCCGTCCAACAAGTTCCACTTCGTGGTGATGGTGATGCCCGTCGGGTCCTACTATGCTGTAGGCAAGAACCTGGTGGGTGAGACCCATACACAGCCACACTACACCTGTCACTGACTGCGTGTGGGGCGCACACACCAGACAGATCAGCCGGGCTGGTTCCTGGCAAGACCCACTTATATCATGGATGCGCTGTGTGTGTCATGTGGATCAGAATGCTGTTGACGGTGTCGTGATAGAGGAGTTCGACAGGGCGGCGCCACGGGGGGTTGGCAACGTCAAAGTGGTGAGTCACTGCACACACTTGAGGCACACACAGATCGGATCGGCCGGTGCATCGATGCGTGGTCATTCATACAACTCAGGCGGGCAACTACGGTGCCGACATCTACCCAGCGTACAAGGTGAGACAGACAGACAGACAGCCAGGCCAGCCTGCACACAGAGAGAGATTGAGGAAGCACCCGCTCTCATGTTTCCTTGTGTGTGATCAGTACAAGAAGTTGAAGGGTTTCCCGCTGCCGCTGTACCTTGACCCGAAGGAGAAGCGGTACATCGAGGAGTTCAACACGTCCAACTTCGCCGCCATCACCAAGGACGGCACCTACATCACATCCGAGTCAGCCGCCATACTCGACTCCATCACTAACAGGGTCAGTGCGCACCAGCCAGACAGCCTGCGCGGGCACGTGTGTGCATCTGTGTGTGTGTCTGTGTGTGTGTGCAATGCAGTGTCTGCAAGTGTTGGCTCACGAGATGAACGTCCCCGTGGAGAGGCGGCCTATCGGTAAATGGTCACTCATCTGCACACAACCCAGCAGAAGGCGGACATTCGGCGTGTGTGTGTGCAGATTTCGACGCTGAGGTGTCGACCTTCGACGAGGTGGGCGCCATCGGCACTGCCGTGGTCATCACCCCATGCAAGTCACTCACACGCGGAGAGACGGTACACACCAACCCGACCGCCGCACACCGATGGCTACCTGCTCATTGCTCATGGTCCTTGAGTGTGTTGTCTCCCTGTGTTTGTCGACCAGAAGTACCATTTTTCTGAGCCCAAGATCCTGCAGCAGCTGTACGACCGAATCACAGCCATACAGGTCAGCCAGACACGGCCACAGACGCGCCATGCACGACATGACGACACACGCGTGTGTGTGGTTTGTGTATGTGTGCAGCGCGGCGATGCCGAAGACCGGTACAACTGGCTGCGCGAGCTGGGGGAGGTCCACCTGCCCAAGGAGGGACAGTACATTCAACAAAACGGCTACCACTGAACCGAACCGCCCAGCCGGTCAGCGATGGAAGACGCCCTGTGTCAGTCAGTGACTGCTGCTGCTTGGAAGAGGGGGCGGGCGGGGGCTGTGTCGATACCCACACGTACGTACGAGTGTTGCCATGGCTGTTGTCGTGTTGCCTCTATGGCATCTGTCTGGTTGGCCTGCTCCCCACCTCGCTGTGGGTGAGACCCATCACAGAGTCTGGATGTGACACGCTGCTGGGAGGTCGAAGCCAACCAAAACAGTGCAAGAGAGAGGACGACAAGAAGATGTGTGTTGTGGTTAACTTTGAGGGGGAGTATGACGTGTTCTCTCTTTCTTTCTGTCTCTCTGGCGGCCGTGGATGATGCCCTTGTGTTGGTTGCTGCTACCTATCGCGTGTGAAACAGCATGTGGTGGGCAGCCGCAACAGACGCAGGGCCGATCGGCCATGGCTGTCGACGAGACAATGAATCGAGCCACCGCCAAGGCAGGGATGCTGTGTAGGCTAAGCGACCACACACACTGTTCTTTTTCATGTGCTGATCAGCCAGTGCATATCTCACACA